CTACACTGTGCAGCTCCGCTGATGGCTCGCAGCCTACGTCGTGCTCAGAGGCTTGAGGGACAAAGGCGCTTTGACGCTACGGTCGGCCCGGAATAGTAGGTCGACCCTGCCAAGTCAAGGGTATCCTTATGATGCTCCAACCTACTTTAGCCTTGACCACCAGGAAGAATTTCGAGCGCCCAAAAAAATACCGAAACTCAAGGGTTTTCACGTGCCGGGCCCTGGGAGCCACTGTTTCGACATTGTTTCGGCACTCTTTTGACACTTTTCTGGGTGCTCGAAATTGTTTCTGGGATGCGGTCCTCAAGTAGGACGGGAACAACATACATAAGAGTACCCTTGTGTCCTGTGCCTCGCGGCCCATGCCCTCTCGCATTCCCATGGCAATGTGGCCCCCGGAAGGGTCTCGTGTCCTCTCGCGTGTCCTCCCCAATGAAGTCCGACTGTCGCACACATTCTGAGGGTCACCGAATGATGAGTTTCTGCCGGATCCTTCGTGTTCCATGCCGTCTCTCCTTGGCCCCGGCTTCTTCGAGCCTCCCGCGAGGCCGGCTGGGCCAGCGACGTCTTTCTGGTGGATGTTTGTTCCGCCTCGCCCTCGTTCCGTTAAGAGCTTGCCGAACGAGTTGCTGCTGTGGTACTGTACATCGACAAAATGTTGCACCACTTTTGCTGTGCATTGGCACCTGTACTGCGTTGCTCTTGCCCCCCCTCTTTCCCCCGATCTTAATAGTGGATGCATGGCGAAGAACCCCTGTTCCGCCCGGGGGCTCCCGACAAAATGTTGCACCACCGAGCTGTTTCGAACAGCCCAGACGGGGGGGGAAACAAACCATTGATATAACAGCGATGCGATTTATTGTCAGCGCCAGGTGGTGCAACATTTTGTCGATGTACCGTAGAACTAGTTCCGATCGAGGGACGCGCCAGCAGATACGTCCTGAACACAAAATGTGGTGATCCGGGCCGTTTCGCTCGAGACATCCTCGCAAGTCGCGTTTTTCTGAGTTGGCTGGGATGGGGCGTTTCGCCTGAGACAGCCTCCTAATTCTGAGCTCCGAGATGCAGCGCTCGAGGTGGTCCAGCCCGTTTCGCTGGACACATCCTCGCAATTTTGGGCTCCGGCGCGAGAGGCTCCAAGACGGCTTCCAGGCGATCCGCGAAGGCTCCAGAAACCATAGCAACGGCCCAGGAAAGCCGCAGGACGGTCCCAAGATTAAGTCGGGCGTGTCCCCCTTACAAGGGGGTTGTGGACAAACATACTCAAAAAATGCCTTCAAAACGCCCCAAAATGGTAAACAAATCGTCCCCTGACTATTTAATGACTATTGTGGGATTTCCTTTCTGTAGAGGGACAAGCCTGCCCTCCCGAGCTGCCGCGCGGGATGCGGTCCAGCGCGTTTCGCCCGAGGCATCCTCGCAATCCTGAGCTCCGAGAGATGCCGATCGCGAAATGGTCTGGCGTGCTTCACTTGAGACATCCCCCTAAATTCTGAGCTGCGAGATGCTGCGCGAGAGGCGGGCCAGCCCGTCTTGCCTGAGGCATCCTCGCAACGGAGCTCCGAGCTGCCGAGCGCGAGGTGGTCCGGGGCGTTTCGCCCGAGACATCCCTTGCAATTCTGCGCTCCGAGCTGCCGAGCGCGGGGTGGTCTGGCACGTTTCGCCTGAGACATCCTCGCGAGTCTGGGTTCCGAGATGTCGCGCGCGAGGTGGTCTGACGCGATTCGCGCGAGACATCCTCGCAGCTCTGGCTCCGAGACGCCCGCGCGAGAGGTGGTCCAATTCTGGGCTCAGAGATGCCGCGCGAGAGGTGGTCCATCGCATTTATTTTGAGATATCCTCACAACGCTGAGCTCCGAGATGCCGCGCGCGAGGTTCTGCTTGAGACATCCTCGTAATTCTGGGCTCAGAGATGCTGCGCGCGAGGTGGTTTGCCCCGTTTCGCTTGAGACATCCTCGCAACTCTGGCTCCAAGACGCCGCGCGAGAGGTGGTCCGGCGCTGTATTCTGAGAACTGCTAGAAGATGTGCGCGAGGTCGTTCGGTGCGTCTCGCCGCAGACGTACTCGCGCAATGCTGCACTCCAGGATGCCACGCGGGAGGTGGTCCGGCGCGCTTCGCCTGAGGGATCCTCGCAACTCTGGGCTCCGAGAGGGAGGAGGGAGCAGGGAGAGGGAGGAGGGACGGGAGGAAGGACGGGAGGAGGGAGGAGGGAGGAGGGAAGGAGGGGAGGAGGGGTCAGGGAGGAGGGAGGGAGGAGGGAAGGGGAGGAGGCAGGAGGGAGGAAGGAAGGGAGGAGGCAGGAGGGGCGAAGGAGGGAGGAGGGATGGAGGGACGGGAGGAGCGAGGAGGGCCCCGGCGAGCCATTGGAGCACACGGCGCTTGGCGGACGGTGCACCTGCGAGGGCGGCCGGGGCGCGCCGCCCCTGCCCGCGACGCCACCTCCTCGCGCCCCGCGCGAGGAGGTAGTCCCGCGGCGCGCCGCCGTTCCCGTGGCTCCGCGCGCCGAGCTGCCGCGCGCGAGGGGCGGTGCGGCCCTGCTTCGCAGGGCGCTCTCGTCGGTGCCTCCGACGCGAACTTCGGCTCTTCGGCTTCGGCTTCGGCTTCGATGTGGCCTGCGATGCCGAGCCGCTGCGGCCCGGGCCGCCGCCGTGCGCTCCCGACGTCTCGCTGGGAGGCGTGCTGGGCTGCCGGTGTGCGCCGCAGGCCTCCCTGCAGCCCTGGGCTCCAAGGCGCGGCGCGCGGGGGGGGGGTCCAGCGCGGTTCGCCCGAGGCGTCCTCGCAGCTCTGAGCTCCGGGATGCTGCTCGCGAGATGATGGTCCAGAGCGTTGCGCCTGAGGCATCCTCGAAGCTCTGGGCGCCAACAGGGAGGAGGGAGGAGGGAGGAGGGGTCAGACCCAAACGAAGCATTTGGTTGCACCTCTGTTGTCGAATTGTGCTGTGGGAAGGGGGCGCCGCCTTAGGCATCCCCGCAACTCTGAGCTCCCAGATGTCGCGCGCGAGGTGGTCCGGCTCGTTTAGCCAGAGACATCCTCGAAACTCTGGGCTCCCAGATGCCGCGCGAGAGGTGGTCTGGCTTGTTTCGTATGAGACATTCTCGCAATTCCAGGCTCCGAGAAAATTTGCGCTACGTGGTCAAGCCCGTTTTGCAGAAGACATTCTCGCAAGTCGGAGCTCCGAGATGCTGCGGGGGAGGTGGTCTGGCCCGTTTCGCCTGTGGCATCCTCGCATCTCTACGATCGAGAAGAGGGATGAGGGAGGAAAGAAGGAGGGGTTAGACCCAAACGAACCATTTGATTCTCCTTCTGTTGTTAAGTTGTGCTTTGGGAGGGGTCTGGGCTCCAGCCTTTTTGGGGCCTCTTGGGGCCTGACTCTGGAGGGCCTCTTGGGGGCCTCTTGGGAGCCTCTTGGGGCCTCCTGGGGTCCTCTTGGGGCGGAAGGCTCCGATTTTCGGTTCGTGTTCCCTCTCTTGGGCCCCTTTAAGGCCGTCTTGGGGCCCTCTTGGACTGTCTTGGGCGCCTCTGGGCCGTCTTGGGGCGCTCTTAGGTCGTCTTGGAGGCCATCTTGGAGGTCTCTTGGGCCGTTGTGGGGTGGTCTTGGGAGCCTATTGGGCCGTCTTGGAACGTCAAAAAGCCGAAAAGGCGAGAACGCCGAAATCGTTCAAAAACCGGAGGAAAATCAATGATGTTTGCATTTTGGGGCCCTCTCGGGAGGCCTCTTGGAGGCCTCTTGCGGCGTCTTGGAGGCCTCTTGGGCCATCTTGAGGCCATCTTGGGCATCTTCGAGCGATCGTTCGGCGACTCGGGGCCCTCTTGGACCGTCTTGGGGGCCCCCTGGGCCATGGGAGCCTTGGAGAGCCCCAGGGAGGCGCCATGGCCGCCCATGGGACCCCCTGGGAGTACGGGCGATGCAGTCGGGTGGGTGTGACCGGGAGGATGGGGCGGGGGTCCCTTAGAATACTACAAATACCCTGCCAGGCAGCCCTTGGCATTCTTCCACGCCTCAACGTGCCGCAGGCACGGTGGCGGATAGCCAGCGCTTGGCCCCCAGAGCTCCCGCACGTGTACCCGGTCGCGTGTGCTTCCAGCGTCCCGCCCCGCGATAGCCCCTGACCCTGGCTCCGCCGTCCGTCGCTTGGTGTTGCGGGGTGGGCTCGTGTCGGAAGTGCACCCCAAAGGGTGCGAAAAAGTAAGGCGGGAATTTGCGCCTCTGCAGGGATGGGGCTGATGCTCTCGCCAGAGTATTGCGGAAACACCGAGATCGTTTTCTGATGAACTGTTTTGCCGATCGGCGCGGGCCCTCGCACCCTCCCCTCCCCCCCTTCCCTCCATGGAGTAGATCTTGGCTGTTTCTGGCAACTGTCTCAGGCAGGCGGGGTCTCCCCCACTTAACGCACTGTTGCAAACAGTCGCGTTCAGCAGAGGTCGCGTTCAGCAGAGGTCCAGAGCCCCCCCCCCCGCTCCCCCCCCCCTCTCTGCCCAGTGCCGAAACGCCGAGTGGAGGAGACGCGCAGAAACCAGGGCGGCAATCGGCACCAAAGGAACCCGACCAGTGGGGCGGGAACCTCTGCCCCACTTGCGAAGGCGCCCAGGGCACGGCGGATCCTGAGCCAGGGGCCCCAACCCCGCGCCTCCCGGCGGCAGCCTGGGCCACGGCGCCCTGCCCGGGGGAAGGGAGACTCGAAAGCCCCCCCCCCCCCCTCCTGGCTCCTCCCAGTGGTGGTCCTTCGTGCTGGTGCCGCTTCTCCGTCGCCGCCGTCGTCGCCGCCGTCGTCGTCGCCGCCGTCGTCGCGCCGCCGCCGTCGTCGTCGTCGTCGTCGTCGTCGTCGTCGCCGCCGTCGCCGCCGCCGCCGTCGCCGCCGTCGCCGTCGCTCGTCCCTGGTGGCGGTGCCGCTGTGCCTCGTGCCTCCCCCCTGGCGCTCCGAGTCGGGGCCGCGCGCCGCCGCGCGGCGGGCCCGCGCGCGCGCGCGCGCCCGTCGCGCATCCCCCGGCGCCGATGGCCAGCGGGCCCCGCCGGGCCGAGACGCCCGCGCCGCGGGGCGGCAGGGAGGTCGCCGCGGCGGCGCCCGCCGCGGCCGACGGCGCTGCGAAGGACGGCGGCAAGAGGCTCCTCCTCCTCCTCCTCCTCCTCTCCTCCTCCTCCTCCTCCTCCTCCTCCTCCTCCTCCTCCTCTCCTCTTCCCCTTCCTCGTCCTCCTCCTCCTCCACCTCCTTCCGCCTTCCCCCTCCTCCTCCTCCTCCATCCTCCACCCCTCCTCCTCCTCCTCCTCCTCCTCCTCCTCCTCCTCCTCCTCCTCCCTCTCAAGCCACTTGGGCTCGAGCACCATTTTGGTGAGCTCGCACCCAACCTCGGTGCTTCCACGGAGCGCTTGAGGGGCGCCGTTCCGACACCACTCTTACATCCAGGTGTCTCTAGCGGCGGCGAAAGCCGAGGATGACGCGTTTATTCTCGAAATGTGCAGGATGCGGCACGTTTGAATACAATGACTTGCTGGAGCAGAGGGATCGGAAGTGTGGTACCTGTTGTCGGCCCGTACGTCTGTTCGTGCCGAAGTCGAAGACCCGATCCCAATCGCCAAGGCGGGTCACCTTTGAAGATCCTGCAGGTAAAGGGCGTGATGGCAGAGGTCCGAAGTCTATCCTGAAGACGCAGCCCGTTGGAATGGGAGGTGACATTACGTTAGCGGATAGTCTCAGGGCGGCCATCGCCCAGTCCACGGATGATGAGATGAAACTCACTTTGGAGAGGCAACTCAAGAAGTTGACGGAGTCCGCGCCGAGCCCAGATGACGGCATCTCACCAGCGGAGCTCGTGCGTCAGACGCACTCTGCCTGGAAAGACGCCGACACCAAGCACGAGCAGGCGGTCATGGCGGTCCGACGGCTCCGCGAGAGGCTGGAGACGGCAGAGACCAAGGAGTCTGAGGCGGCTAAGGTCTTGGCCCGTGCCACGATCGAGAAGATGCAAGCAGCCCAGCGCCTGGCGTCGTCTGAGGGTGTCATACCAGCGGATGGAGTTAAGAATGGCAAGTCCTTGTTCAACTTATCTTGGGATCCGACGCTTTTCAGCAATATCGAGCAGATGGATTGCGAGCAGGCCGAGAAGGACGCCTTGGCCCAGCTCGAGAAAGACTTGCTTAGCGCCCGAGACACGCTGAAGACCAAGGAGGACCAGGTCCAGGCTTGGTTGGCACGTGCTGAGGAACTACGACAGTCTATCAAGGAGCGCATGCTCAAGAAGCGGCGCAGTGATGATGGCTCGGCTAAAGCAACAGGTGGAGGTGATTCTGATAATACTAAAGGTGACAGTGCTACCGACGCGGCTGCAACCACGGAGACTTCGCAGGAGCAGAAGGCAGCTGATGAGGCGGCGATGGAGAAGCGTATTCTGGAGGAGGCGAAACGGCTTTCGAGAGCCAAGTTCGCGGCAACCCAGCAGGCCAAGGGCATGGGCTTGGGCAAGGGCAAGGCTAGCGCCAAGGATGGACTTGGCAAGGGAGTCGGTGCCCCCGACTCTGCGTGACCCGACCGCAGGTCCCGCTCCCCGACGATGTCAGCCAGAACGTCGGCGAGCACAGCGACCTCTACTACCTGGCCAACCTTGTCTTCGACACCTGATGCTGCAGATGCCCCGTCCTCACGAGGAGCCCCAGCTGGGCTACCAGACGATGGGGAAGACGCAGCGAGTTTTACTACAATTCTTTTTGGCAATGTTACGTGCATGGGAGACAAGATCTGGAAACATGTGACCCAGACGAAGGCTTCCATCCAGCACTACTGTTTCGTTGAGACGCATATTGGTCGCACAGACATCAAATCTTGGGACGTCAAAGCTAGAGCTGAAGGGCTCAAGCTGTTTTGCAATCCAGCAAGGCCGAGCAGGAGGGATGCTAGAGAGTTGGACAATGGGCATGCCAACGAAGGGGGCGAGTGGATCATCACTCACGGGCATCTTCGAGTACATTCCTTGAGTCTAGCTTCAGCACCTTTGCTGCAGAGCGACGGGTCGCAGACCAACGACGGCTTCTGTGCGGTCCTAGTCCACATGAAGGGCTACTCCTTCGTATTGGTGACCTTCTACGGCTTCTGCTCCTACGGGTTCACGGGCCCGAACATCATGCGGTACCGTCGTCTAGGGGCTTTGCTATATGCGCTGCAACTGCCATGGGTGGTGGTAGCTGATTTCAACATCAGTGCGGCAGCGATCAACAAAGCAGAGTTTGTTTCACGAATAGGAGGCCACATCCTCACGGCCAATGTGGACTACACATGCAACAAGGGGGAGAAGGGCTCGCACATCGACTTTGTGGTGTGCAGTACATCAGCTCTTTCTTTCATCCATTCTGTGGAGCCAGAGCTTGCCGTTCCATGGAAAACGCACATTGGCCTACGTCTCAAGTTGCGGGACAAAGGGGAGCAGCTCATAACACGAGTGTTGACATTGGCTGCGAAATTACCTCAACTACCGAGACCTGGTCATGAGCCCGATCCTAATTCCAAGGCCAGTCGTGCGAGAGCCGAACGCAAGGAACGTTCTCAAGTTACTGCGACCAAGCGAGAGGAATTGTACGAACTTCTTTTTGGGGAGGTCTTCTCGGCCATTGACGAGGTCAAGTCCAAGGGCCGCCAGCAGCCTCCCGACGCAGGTACTCCTGAGAGCCCTGAGCCCCAGCAGAGTGCCGCTAGCTCGGACATGTTTCACGATGATCTTTCAGTCTGCTCGGAGGAGGATCCTTGGGCGGACGAGCTTAATTTTGCTGTGGAGGAGAAGAAGGGCTCAGAGGCCCTCCCTCCCACGTCACCTTCTGACTTTAATGGCGCTGCTAGCTCTGTCTCGGTGGAAGCTGGCGGTCGCGTCGCCCCCCGCGGGGTCTCTGCGGAAGCCTGGTGGTGGTTCCGTTGCCGGTTGCGTGCCGCGGCCCTGCGGCCCCGTTGGGGTCACGGCCGATCCTAGCAGCAGCCAAGACCCTTGTTTGGCGTCGACCCAGCCCCCCGAGCCCCGAGGCCCCAGCACCATTAGTTATATGATTCCTGAGGCCCTTTGGGAAAGGCATCGGCAGGAAGTAGGCTTCTCCTCCTCCTCTCAACTCCACGTCCCCGCGTACATCAAGAACTCCAGAGCCTTCCAGGTGGACCCTGAAAAGACCCTGATGATTAGTGGGATGTATGCCTCTTGGGTGACCACAGTTGAGAATACCATTCGAGCTCACCATGGATGCGAAGCCAACCAGGGAGCACTGCGATCTCAGGTGCCGACTTTTGAATTGCAGAAGGTGCGAGTCTCGGACAGATGCAGATCGACACCGCTGCGAGATCAAGCGGCAGGCTGGTGGACGAGATTGCACACTATTTTAGATTCCTTGCATAAACATCGTTCAAGGAACAACGGTGTGTCGCAGCGAGCACGTCTGGAGCGAGAATGTCGACGCCTTCTTGAAGATCGGCCCGATCAGGTCCACACTTGTGTGAGTACGTGCTTGGTTCCACCCTGGTCTGAATGGCTAAACATTCTCGCGTCCGTCGACAAGTGTTCGATCATGCACCTTGATATGTTTTCCCAGTATTCGGCTAAAGTCATGCGTGCTAGTCAACGGAGAGCCCTCCACGCCTCTCTTCGTGAATTCCAGGACTGGGCCATCACGGGGAACTCTCTGGGTGCTCTCCACAGGGCCATGCGTCAGGACCCCGTCCCCACCTTGGAAGTCTTCGATGGTACCAGTATATTACATCATCCTAAAGATATTGTGGATTACAAGACGTCTCTTTGGAAACGTAAATGGGCCCCGAAGTTATCCGAGCCCCACGAGTCCATCATCCACGTCTTGGGTATTGTTAGACAGGCCGTCAGAGATGATCCCGATCCTCTTCCAGAATTGGGTGTCCCTGAAGTGCGCAAGGCTCTCAGAGCCATGAAACCTCGTGCTGGTCTTGGTGCGGACCAACTCACACCATGTGATATGGAGCGACTCCCAGATGCAGGAGTTGCTGAATTGGCTGCCCTATTCAACACAGCCGAGGAGATCCTCGCCTGGCCTGTGCAGACCATGATAGTCATCGGTCGACTCCTGCCCAAAAAGCTTTCGGGAGACAGGGTGATCGGGCTCATCACGATGTTATCCAGGGTATGGAGTATGTCCAGGGAGCCCTGGTCCAAGGCTTGGTCCAGTCGGACCGAGCCTTCCTGGGACGCCGCGGTCCGTGGAAATTCGTCGTTGCGGGAGGCTTTCAGGAGAGTCCTGGATGAGGAGGTCGCGGGTATCCTCAATGTTTCGTACGGACATGCCCTCACCGATATTGACGGCTACTACGATAACATGCTATGGCTCAAGCTTTCCCGAGCGGCCCTCCGACTGGGCTTTCCACCCACGATCTTGTACATGGAACTATTACAATGTGCTCATCCACGCACACTCAATCAGATTGGTTCTTTTTCGATGGCGTTTGAGCCGACATGCAGTATCATTCAAGGCTTGCGAGCTGGCACCAGACTGGCCAGAGCGATGACGTTCTTCATCATGGAGGCGATCACCACATCGCAAGTTCGGTGCTCGCACCGACTTTGGATAGATGATATCTCGCAGGCTACGAGAGGCTCTGAATCCCAGGTCAAGAAGGATTTGGTTCAGTGCGTGGCCGCGACCGCTAGGGGCCTCCACAGGCAGGGTCTCAAGATTGCATCCAAGTCGACAGTGGTCTGCACCAAGCTGAGTTTGGCCAAGGACGTGGTTCGAACCTTGAAGCTTCGTGGGATCACAATGACGGCGGCCAAATCTACCAGCTACCTGGGCATTGATCTGGGAGCAGGAGTTAGGCATTCTCGAGCTGAACGGCGCAAGCGTGCTGCACGGCATCTCAATCGGCACAGGAAGGTTGTCAAGTACAAGAAGGTTATTCGCAGGACAGCGATCACTTCTCGACTGGAGCGCCAGGGCGCCCAAGCAGCAGGTAGTTACGGATATGAAATCTTCGGAGTTGGTGGACAGGAGCTCACTCGATATCGACGTCGACTGGGCGCAGCTTGTAATGCGCGGGGTAAAGGCCGATGTTTGACGACACTTCTTGAACTGGAAGCCCACGGCCAAGACCCCGCAGCACGCTTCATTCAAG